AACCCAGGACCTGTGCAACCCGCCCAAAAGTCACTTGGTACTTTACGAAGGGATTCTGAAGCTGGAAACAATTCTTCGGATGCCTCTGTCCACTGCTGAGTTTGTCTTTCTTGCTGCCTGTGAAACAGCAAAGGGATCTGTTGATCTGGTGAACGAGTCATTTCACTTGTGCGGAGGATTCATTGCGGCAGGATTTGATGGAGCGATTGGAACTCTGTGGGCCATGAGGGATTCGGATGGTCCAGTGGTTGCAGAGGCTGTATACAGTTATTTATTCAAGGACAATCAGGATCGAAGGGTAACTGAGGCGGCCAAGGCTCTCCATTTGGCGGTTAGGAAAATGCGGGATACAGGAGTTCCGTATGAGAGATGGGTTCCATTCATTCACACGGGCATCTAATCTTGTACATGAGAAATAATCACTATTTTTTGCAACCATCCGTGCGGTGGGCAATTCAGATTACTAACTGAGATTTGGGATACAGGCCAAATTGTTGCACCAGGGAAGCTGAACTGCCTCATTTTGAGTCTGTGTTCACGTCGGCTAGTTAGAAAAAAGGTAGAGTTTGTAAAACAATTGCCAAAAAATGCGGTGAGCGCTTCGACGTTTTACAGACCCGCACATCTCCGCGGGAAGAATGTTGTGTTGTACGCAACTACCTGGTCGAGTTCCGCGAGCGGGCTCCACTCGCATTGCTTACCAAATTTCACCTCGAAATACCTGTCAAAATATTCAGTTTTGTCTCAATCGCCCACAGAAACCGTAATAGGACTCTGCCCAACTCAGAACTGCCGGACGAGCGCTTCGGACCTCCCGTACGGAATATTACTGTCATTCTCCACACACGAGCCACCGATGGAGTGGAACTTGTCAGCAGGGACTTTCTTGCCGATGCGCGCGAAGAGAATACTGTGGGATGTTGCGTCGTCAGCACCGGTGGTAGCTGTAAGCACGAAGCGGGACGACGAAAGGTGAATGTGACACCACGATGACTAATTGTGACTGATGAAAAAAGAATAGGAGCAATGGCCAGCAGCCTCCGAGCAGGGAGGAAGGCTGGAGGAAAGCGAGGCCGGAGTCCGCAAGGTCAAGGGAAGGAAGGAACGACCGCTCAAGCCGTTTATACTATTGCGCCTGGCTGCATGCGAATCGATGCCAAGTCTCAGACCCCCATGAATGCGCCGTTTTTGCTGAGTGACGCTGTACGGCCAGAGCCAGACTGATCGATGTGCCAGCAGCAGCTGTGTGGAGAGGCAAGTCGGTGCCCGCGTCGCGAAAGACGAGAACAAGAACGAGGAACGCATGTGCTGTCGGCATTCGATTCGGGGCGTCTAAAGGAGGCGAAAAAAAAGGTAAATCATTATAGCATGTCGGAGCCATAGAAACACATCTATATAATCTACATCGCCCACTACTAACTCCCACCACTCGAAAAGCCCGCGCGAAAGCCGCCTGGGGCGTAGTTTCAGTATTCCCTGCCTGCCTGTCATGCAAGATGACAGACATCGTATCAGGCCACACACGCACGCCGTCCGTTGCCACCGTACACGACCAGGATGAACATGAAGGTCGCGTATGGGACGGCGAGCGGAAACAGGAGGAGAAAAGGAAGAGGAGAAAGAAAGAAAGCGAGCCGAGCCGGGGAGGAGGCAATCAGAAAGTAGCGCGAAAGTCAAGAGGTGCCTACGTGCGCGGCATTCAGACACATGCAGAAGGAGAGCCGCAACGTCTCCCAAACCACCCCGCGGCATTATCACGTCTACGCATGCCGAGCCTTGTTCAGCCGGCGCGCGCACGTACACCGACGATGACGAAGGCAAGGCGCGGCACGGAAATACCGCGCCGCCGCGCAATGGAAGCGCGTTCTCGATCGCTCAATGGGCCACCAACCCCACGAGCAGTACACCGCCGCCTCCACGAGCGCGCATCGCACCATCCAGAGCAGGACGCGCGAGCCCCCGAGCGCACAATGCGCGACGGCACAACGAGCGCCCGCCATACCCCGCGCCTGCACGACCTCGCCGCACACCCTCCCGGCCCCGCCAATGGCGCGGCGCGGCGTCCCCCACGATAAGTACACCCACATATCGACATGCACCACGAGTGCGCACGCCGAGCGCACAGCGAGCGCACAGGACACGGCGCACACCGTCCGCGCAGCGACACCGACGTCGACGCCGCGGGTCCCACCTCGACGCCCCCGCCAGCCACTCACATCTCCACCTTCTGCACGATGGATGAGAGGTTACGATTTCGCAGGCGGGGGTGGGAATGGGGAGGACGCCGTGCGTCCCCGGCCCACCACTGCACGCTCGACGAGGGACCGATCCTGCACGACGAGGGGGACCGATACCTGCCTGCGCGGGGTTGCGTGTGCCCCTCAAGTCGGGCGACGAGGCACGTCCCTAAGTACGTCTCGACCCCGTAGCATCACCCGCACACCTCCACCTCCACCTCCTGCATGGTCGACGAGGGACCGATCCCGCAGGGCGATCAATGAGGGAGGACGACGCGCACCATCCGCGCAGGGGCTTCAGTCGCAACGCAACGGGTCCTACTTCGACACGACGCATTGGGGCGCACACCGACACCACCACCTCCTCCCGAGCCCGCTGCGGCCAGAAGGGGAGGGGGCGGTGACGTGCGTCCCTGAAGCCGGACGACGTGCGTGGGTCCTCAAGGCGCGCATAAGCGAGAAGAACAGGCGAGAAGAACAACATTGAAAGAGGAAAGGAAACTAGACGGTGTTGATGAGACCGATCCCGCCCGCCCGACGATGGACCAATCCCGCAGGCAGCGGCGCGTTGCGTCCCCAAGGTCGGACGCATGCGTTGCGCCCCTCACGTCGGACGACGTGCGGTTGCGCCATCAAGGTGCGCGCGCAGGCAAGAGCCACAAGATGGAAAGAAAGAAAGAAAGAAAAAGGGAGGGAGACGATGTTCGACAAAAGGGGCGCTCGCATGCGCCGCACCAAGCCGAATCCGAATCGCACCGCGCGGTGTCGAGGAGCGAAACAAGGGGCGCCCCGCAGGGAGTCAGAATGACGTGCCCCCGACGCCATAGGGATGGACGACCACGGGGCAACGAGTCGGATCGAGAGCGCGTGGCTTCCGAACCACCGATGGATTCCGATTGCGAGTGCGGGAGGCCAGAGGAAAGAAAAAAAGAAGCATAGGAAACGCAGGAAACGAAGAAAAGGCAGGGAAAAGGGGGAGGTCAAGGTGGAGGGGATGAATGAATGAATGAATGAAAGGAAGATTGGGAAGATCGAGGAAAAATAAAGAAAGAAAACAGTTTATGGGAATATAAAAAAACACGCACCCAAGCCTCCCCAGCTCCTCCTCGCCCATGCGCATGAACGCACGGCCGCCCACGCCGCGGCGCGCGGTCCACGCGCCAGCCTCGCCGCCGAGATATGCGGCCAGCTGTGCAGGCGTCCAGCGCTTGGGCGAGATGGTGGTGGTTATTCCTTTATTGTCTGGAGTGGTGTTTGTAATTATTAAATCAGGATTGGGAGCAGAATATGAGCAGAGGGAACACACCGAACCCGGGCGGCACCAGCAGGGCTCTTGGGCTCTCCGCGGCGACACCCCCATACGCCATCCTCTCGCTTGAGCTGAGACTGCGCGAGTAGCGGTGCCCGCGGTACTCGCCCTTCCTTTCGCCCGCCGCCTTCCCACCGCTACCCCCGCCATTCCTGTCCCCGCTGGCGCTGGCGTTGTTGCTGGTTCTCTCCCGGTGCGGCGAGGGGTGCGGCGAAGGTGGCGGCACGTAGTGGTGCCGGCCCCCGTTTTGCTGCTGCGAGCTGGTGGAGTTGGACCGGGTGAGGAGCGCAGTGGATGTTGTGCGGATGGGGTAGGGGTGTGCGTTGGGCTTGAGGTCGTCGATGCTGAGACTGCGGTGCGGCGAGCCTATGGGCATAATCAATAAATTAAAGCGATAGCTCTCGCAGCAGTAAGAATGTACCTCCACCAGGGGAGTCAAAGAGTGAATTGGTGCGCGACCGCGGGGTGGGCGAGCTATTCACATTCGTGGTGTTGTTGTTATTGGTGCTATTATCCCGAAACCGGGATGTGGTCGGCGACTTTGTGGGCGAGGCGGGGCGCGGAAAGGCGAGTGGTACAGGGCCCGGGCTGGATATCGTCGACATCGTTGGTGTCGTCGTCCGTCGTCGAAAGCTCAAGCCTCAGATGAACGAGCACGACGTCAGTCTCAGTGGGAGAAAGAACCAGCCGGAAAAGGAGTTGCTTGATTTGGTCATGATTGGTTGGAAAGCCGGGAGTTGCCGGCTCGGTTTTCAAATTATGGTGAGGTATTAACGTATACTAAGCGCCACACATATCTGCGGCATAGATAGTGCAGGAAAGCCTCGGTGGATCATGGTGGATCGTCCCTGTTACTTGAGCTAGTAAAACAGTTCTACAACGGGAAGATGGGGGTTCGAATCCCTCTCGAGGCATATATAAAATATGATGTCACTTTTTTTTCATGCAACACATTACGCGGATTATTTTCTCGCTGTAAAGTAACCGCCTTTCTGTACAATACACATTGTTTTGCGCGCGACCCAGATAAACTTCACTTGAACTCAACCTCACCGACTGATCGATATTTTATTCGGGGCGGTCTATTTACAACCCCCTTTCGCACTTACAACGCCTATCCTCAAATAAGAGCAGGAACGCCTCGGTGGACCGTTGGTTGATCATCTCTTCTCCGTTGAAGGACGGACGACATATGAGATCATGGGAAGATGAGGGTTCAAATCCCTCCCGAGGCATGATAATGTCGTCGTCGATGTAATTTTTTCTGCATCAATTTTACATTGATTTCGTGCGGTTCTATCCGTTGAAGGGCGTGATTAACTATCACTAGGGAAGAGCCTGCAGTAATTTCATTCGTTATGTAATTCTGATGATCGAGTCGCTGAAGCAAAGGCAGGTCTACAGCTCACACAGAATTCACTGCACCCACCTAGCCTCGAAAAACGGAGAATAAAACCTTGGTGGATCAATTGGCAGATCATCCTTACCTAATACAATCGGAGCAAGCCGTACGTGGGAAGACGGAGGTTCGAATCCTCCCGGAGGCATGACGTTAATTCGGTGGATGACTTTTTGTTTTTGCTCTAAGTATTTTTTCTCCATCATGCAAAACATGCCAGTCTGTGCGCTCCTACATGTGTAGAACTGTGCAAACTTGAACCTGGGATATTGAGTGCATTTCTTCCCTTAGCCATGATATATTTGGTCAATGGTCGACAAGGTTGTTCGAATCCCTCCCAAGGCATAGGCGGACGCGAAGTCTTTTTTCACTAGTAGCTTACACCTGGCATTATTTTCATAACTATCTTTATTTACACTACGCATTTCCCCACTCACAACCCGGATAAACTTTATGCGTTGAATTTATGCAAACCACGGACTGATTGATATTATCACTCCGGGCGGTCTAACTCATTAAAAGCCGCACTTGCAATCCGGCCAATACCCAACCTCAAATAAGAGTAGGAACGCCTCGGTGGATCGTTGGTAGATCATCCCTTCTCCGTTTGGGAAGTATTTCGAAAATAAGACTATCATGGGAAGACGAGGGTTCGAGTCCCTCCCGAGGCATGATAGTAGGTTTTTTTTACGTCAATTTTACACTCCATTCCAGGCTAGTCCCATCACGGGGGTCAGAAAGTTGGTACGTAATCGCGGAGCTTGAATTTCGTCGCGATCCATATTCAATGAAAAACGCGTCTTTTCATTTGAATCCTGCGCAGGCGAGAGATTTATATATGCATATGAGAATCTGCCGCTTTAGATTTTTCATCCTGCTTTCCTAGCTTTCAGTATAAGATCACAGGAATCGATGTGACTGACTGATCGATGACCAGCTGTAGGAAAAAAAAAGCAATCAAATCCCATATATTTCATAATATGTGTGCGATTTGGTATTATATCATCAGGATAGCAGAACCTCGAGCGTACGACTGTGCGATAAGATTTCAAACTCCATCATTAAAGCGTCTGTCTACGAGAGACTAATTCCAGGCATCTATAGCCTTGCTGAATTTGCAGCCACTAAATTTAATGGTCCCCTCCCCTCTGACCAGTCAACCCCCACGCTCTCTACATGTCGGCAAAACAGAGTTAGCGTTCGCGGTAAATTTCCTCACGAGGAATGACTGAACTCACCTAGTATATCCGCGCAGCGCAGAAATACCCCGGCTTCGCACACCCCTTACTCTTCTTCTTGCACGTCGACAACGCTAAACTGGCCGCCTTGCTGCCATCGTTTTTCCCATACCCGCGCGCGTACGACAGTGCCACGTACGTCGAGCCGTAGTCGATGCCGACACAGCCCTCCTCTATGCACGAGTAGGACGAGCAATCGCTCTTCCCGCATTTCTTCTTTGCGTTCGTGAGGGAGGAGGACTTTGAACCGGCCCGGTACCACCCGTAGCGGCCAGTCGATTTGGATACTGCGATGCAGACCCAATACTGGGTGCTTGCAGCGACCTTGACCGCGGCGTCCTTGTTGGCGGAGAGCGAGGAGGCAGGCGGGGCGTCGATCGACCCGTGGACGTCGAATGCGGTGAAGCCGTGAGGGGCGGGATGGGTGGTTACGTCGGAGGTTTGGAGGGCTGGCGAGCCAAGAACACCGAGGATCCCCGACGCGGTGAGGGTGAGAAGAGAAAGAGCGAGTTTCATTCCGGCGGTTAGGGGGGATGGATGTCCTGCTATTTGGACGACCTTTTATGCGATCCGGATCCACAGCCAGGGGCTAATGCGAACCGAGATTTAGGGTACTTTATGTAATGGAAGCCGATTACTATCACTGCGCTAAACGTTGAGAACAAGACGAGGCAAAGACGAGGAGTGGGTAAGAATCAGTATGTATAAGATAAGAATCGGCACAGCTCTCTGTCAGATTCTTGCAACGAACCGAATTACATCTTCCAAGGAAAGATTATGTGGCGGGAAAAGGAGGTTGATGTACCGTCGCCCACTACCCACACTGTATCGAATGCCTACCCACCCACCATCTGCTCACATCGACCCTCTTGTCAGCGCTATCTGCCGATCTTTCCATTCATAATCTACTCATTTTTACTGTCGATCGATCCAATCATCCAATTATTTACTCACCCGCCACCTTCGTGCGTGTTTGCTGCCATGTGGCGGCTCACCCCTGAAACCCCCACATCAGCAGCCGTATTAATTTTGATCATGATCAGGTTTCAACTTGTAGGTAAAAGTTGCGGTTAGGGAGAAGGATAATTCTATTCAGAAAGCCCGGTTGCAGACCAGAGGCATGCATAAGACTGTCTCTTTTTCCTCACCCTATGTAAGTTTTTCTGCATTAATTTTACATTAACTTCGTGCGGTTCTATCCATTGAAGGAGTGATGAACTAGCACTAGGAAAGAGTCCGCGATAATTTTATTCATTAATTCTGATGGTTGAGTCGTCAAGCAAAGGCAGGTCTACAGCTCGCACAGAATCCACTGCACCCACTCAGCCTCGAAAAACAGAAAATAAGCCTTGGTGGATCAATTGGCAGATCATCCCTCATCAGTGCTAGCCCACAATCCTCCACGAATATACGGGAAGACGGAGGTTCGAATCCTCCTCAAGGCATTTAATATCAATACTTCCGTTTTTTTTTGCAATTGCGGCTCTATCCTTCCTTCCTTTGCGGTTATTACTGGTTCCGGAGCCTCGAATTTCAAGCTTGACGCAATGCTGTAAAACGCCTTACTGTTCCTGGATCGAAAATACTGGCCGCGTGATTTTTAGCTAGACAGAAAATCATCCAAACTCGCATCTACCTATGCAACCTCCACTTACAGAGAATAAAGCCTTGGCGGGTAAATTGGCAGGTCGTCCCTACTCAGTGGATCGAGGTACGAGCGAGCTTTAACGTTTCAATGGTTGTATCGTCTGTCTAGGAGAGACTAATATTTCCGTCTTTCCACCGTCACAAGTCCCAGGCCATCAGGTATCGAAACCTTGGTGAATCAATGGGCAGATCATCCCTACCTAATGTGATCGTGGTGCCGGCGTACGTGGGATGACGAGGTTCGAATCCTTCCAAGGCATTGATCGACTCTTGAAATGGTTTGTTGTTCTTGCCTGGATTTTTTTGCATCGTTTCAATTCCTGTGCCGCTCTACGAGCTCAGATGTAGAATGGCCAAGCCAATTGTAGTCCACATTCGTTCGCTTTCTGCTCAGATATTTGGTTGATCGGCAAGGTTGAAATCGGCCTGCACCAGCACGAAAATGACTGCATTTATCCAACCTCCATAGAAATGTCAAATAAGCCTTGGTGGAACACTGGCAGATCTTATATTCCAAATTGTTCTATGGAGTCCGTGGGAAGGCGGAGGTTCGAATCCTCCCCAAGGCATACACCAAGATGTTCGGCGATTTTCGATCTTGCCTTTATGTTCCCCGTGTTTCATTCGAGAATCAGAACATGCCAGCCTGTGCATTCATCTACACATGTAGAATTGTCAAACTAGTTGAAGTCCCCATTGCTTCAGGTTTTGGTTTGCTCATATTCAAATATTCAAGCGTAGCTTAGAAGGTTGAAAACGGACATGCGCACAAAAATCACTGCACCTATCCAACATCCAAATGTAATGAATAAGCCTTTGTGGATCAATTGGCATATTATCCTAGCGTAAAATGAGAAGAGTCGTGGTTCGTGGGAAGACGGAGGTTCGAATCCCCCTTAAGGCATGTTGATAATTTCAAAGACTTTTTGTTCTCATTTTTTTGTTTTCTTCATCGTTTCAGTTCTTCCGAAACACGCCAGTCTGCGTGTTCATCTACATACACATGTAGAATTTCCAAACGAGATATATACAAGTCAATCTGCATGTAGATGTCCAAACCAACTGGAGTCAACACACTTTTTTTTTGTCATGTACTCAAATATTCGACCATAGCCAACACGCAATACACATAAAATTGGCAGAAACCACCGCACCTATTCAACCTCGAAAGGTCGACAATGCAGGCAGGCGACCATAGTTACAGCCTGCTTTTTCCGAACCTTCATTCGTGAGCGCGCGCAGAATGGGGAAGCATAGATAGTCACTGCGTTCAGGCTCCAGGTAGCCGAAGCCATTTTTAGGCGCTGCTAGGCGAGGCGAGGCACTGGCGAGGCGCCAAAATTCGTCGTCTAGCTTCGGCTAGGCTCGGCTAGTTGCCGGTCACGGTCACCTCGCCACGCCTAGCAGCGGCTAGAAATAGCTCGGCTAGGCTCGGCTACCCTTGCGGCTAGCTGGACTCTGAACGCAGTGAGTCATGGGACCGACGGCGTAGCGAGGTCTGCCCCGTATAACCCGATAGCGAATGTAACCGGCGCAACCTTTTTGAGAAAAACGGGCGAGGGACCAAGTGGCACACATCAGAAATTTCGCAGTGCGCTGGGAAGAGTCTAAGGCCACAAAATATGAGCTTAAAATGTTCACGGTAAGCGTTCGGTCGACTTTGCGCAAATTGTTGCGCTAAATGCAATCGTCATCATCATTAAAGTCGATCGCGCTCGGGCAGTCACTCCCCAGGTACTATAGTGGATCTGTAGTTCAATGAGTCATAGGTGAACGGTAGCGGCGACGGACTTGCCAGGTATCAATCAGATTCCTAAGTGCCGCCCCAGTTAGGGTATTGCGGTCGACATCGTACGACCACGGACGTTGCGGACCATTGCGGTTGGACACCATGAGGAGTTCCCCCTCCTTCGGCCAACCCACTCGGCCTGTATAGTCTTGGATAGTGCATGTAACCGGCTCGAGAATTTTGAGGATACGCAAGACGAGAACATATTTGTTCGCGTGCTCAGGTAAGGTGGAACGTTCAAAGCACGCGACACCAGTACCTAAGAATCATGAAGAGGAGAAGGCAAGGACGGGCGTGAAGGTATACCAGTAAAGGGAAACAGTCTCTGGCGCCGTGTCCGTGATACTACCCATTCAGCAAAGACCTTGAGTTGTACTGCATGAACGGCAGTGGGTCCCACAATAGCTAAACACAATGACATCTGGAAATTGACCAGAAAGGGATGATGAAGGCCAAAGACCGTCAGGTCGGGAT